GCTAACAGGATTGTCTTCCCTTTTTTTTAAAGACACCACACTGATTTGTTCTCGTGGAAAGGATGCCTGAATAAAACCTGCATGCTTTCGGAGGCAGGGCAATGCATTCCCCGTGCGCAAAGGACTTGCGACGCTCCTATGGCCCTTAATGCTTCCTGCTTCAGGTCCTCCCACAGTGTAAAAAAATTCTTTTCAATCAGTCATCACCAGCCTTTCCAATTCATAAGAGAGGCACCGCATTTGTAGAAATCAGGTGCAGTCAAATTGAGCTCCCAGCCCCTGGCTCTGTAGCCAAGTCCTCCAACTCACTGAGCTAGAAAAAAAGAAAAAGCAAAATGTGCTGCTTATTGTATTCTTCCATGTATAAGACACACTTTTTCCTAAAATCAGTACACTAAAAATTGAGGGGCGTCTTATACACGGAAGTAAGCTGAGAACACGGAGAGAACAAAACACCCGTACCTTGCCTCTGTAAACAGGCTTCCTCCAATCAGGAGGCTTAGCTGCCTCTAATCACGAGCCTTATGGAACTGATGTCAGCTGATGCTGAACAAACCAATTGGAACGCACCTCGTTGGAGGTGGAGCCTGTAGGCTCAGATTCAACAGGGACTCCTAATGTCCGAGCATTCTGAGCCCAGAGGCTGAATACTCAAAGCTACGTTTTCTTAATTGTTGGGTTGGAAAAGTGTGCGTGTGGGTATTCTTATAAATGGGGGGGGGGGTTGTCTTATAAATGGAAAAATATGATACTGTATATACCACCCCATAGCGCTTAAAGCACCCTCTGGGCACTTTACGTTTTTTTTAGTTATGCAGTCTACATATTGCTCCCCCAGCGAGCTGGGTACTCATTTTTCTGACCTCAGAAGGATGGAAGGCCGAGTGAACCTTGAGCTGGCTGTCAGAATCTGTTGGTATCGAACGCTAGCTGTGAGCAGAGTTTGGGCTGAAGTACTACAGTTTAACCGCTGTGCCAACTTAGATTTCTTAAAAATCGCATATGGCAATTGTCACCGTTGTTCAATGCCATACAGCTCTTTCAGCTTCTGGCAATCTTCTGCTAAATCAGGTCTTCAATACAACTCCATCTTTATTTATTTATTCATTTATTTTTTTTGTTTAATACTGTATTAAAATAAAAAAAACATGACATGCAAGATGGCAGTAAAACATGAGGGGGAAAATAGTCAGAAAGAAAAAGAATTTTTTTTCCCGCTTGTTCCCTTTGAGTGTTATTGTAACTGCCGTTATTTTTATTGTTGTAAACCGCCCAGAGTGCCCTTTGGCCAGATGGGCAATATAGAAGTCAAGTAAGTAAGAAAGAAGGAAAGAAAGAAGGAAGGAAGGAAAGAAGGAAAGAAAGAAAGGAAAAAGGAAAAGAAAGAAAATTAAAAAGCAGAAATATGTAGTATAATCCATAAAATAAAATAAATCAGCAGCAAGTAGAAAGAATAAAAACAGTTTCATAAAAACGTTGAAGACCCCCTAAAGGCCTTCAAAAAATATTTACTTGTTAAGTAAAACAATGTTCTTAATTTGTGTCCCCATGAAATGGCTTTGGTGTTTTCTGGGCTCTTGCCTGAAGAGGTGACAAAGCGTATTGGCGCCATTAGGTTTATTCCATGTTCGCAAAGCCATTAAACACCCTTCCTCAACAATGAGTCCCTTGTTTGCTGCTCCGATGCCACAGCAGGGGAAATGATGTCATTTAACTAATGACAGTGTTGTGGTGGAAAGCAGGTGTTTCCCGGAAGCTGGAAGGTACAATGCAGGACTGTGGCACACTCGAATGCAAAAAAAATTCACAAGACTTGGGAATTGCACGTAAAAACGACCGGTGGTAGCAGGGAAGCTTTACGAAGAGTTTTCCTGGCGTGTCTATCGCAGTGATGGTTGTTTGTCCTGGTTCTGCCTCTGCAGCGCCAGGCCTTTCGAAGTGCCAAAGCGCTCTGTAATCCCTTTGGAAGTGAAAACCGAATGTGTGCATGCTTGCTTCTGTCTGGGTGTTCAGACATTCGAGCATAAATACCCTGGAAAATGGAAATTTTCACTACGTGTTGAATAGATCCTGCTCATGGGAGAATCGAGAATAAGCAAATGGGAAGCTATGGTTGCTGATGAGCACAATCTTGCTCTGTACTTAGTGTTATTGTTTCAATTTATACTCTACTATCTTTCTAATTTATACTCTACTTTCTTTCCAACACTGAAGGGGAGAGCTTATAGGACATAGTTGAATAATTATCAAGATAAATGAAATTAAAATGCCTGAAGACCCCTGACGCCTGATCTATCTTGATGCCTGATGAAGATAGAGCAGATCAATGTTGTTGTTGTTGTTGTTGTTGTTGTTGTTGTTGTTGTTGTTGTTGTTGTTGATGATGATGATGATGATGATGATGATGATGATGATGATGATGATGATGTGCTGCCAAGCCACCTCCAACTCATGGCAACTCTATGAATTGAGCCATCTCCAAAATGGCTTGTCCTCAACAGCCCTGCTCAGGTCTTGCAAACTCAAGCCAAAATCATTGGAAAAATCTGATTTTTAATTTAAACCGGGATTTAAATCTTGATTTCAATCAAATCCACCCTGGCTGGCACCTCTCCTGGGAAGCCCCGTGGGGATTTGAACTCCTACCCCCTGCAGGGTGTTCCAAACCACTTAAACTGTGCCAGCAAAAGCAGTAGTAAAAACAATGGCTGCTGATTAAAATAGGCACATGTTATTTATTTTGTCGAAAGACGTTGACCTATACAGATCCTTCATCCACCCTTTCTGATTTCAAAAGCCAATTGGGCTGAGGTTGCTGGGATGTTGAAAGCCATTTGTGTTCTGCTAGGATTTAGCTTAGTTTTACCTCTTGGACCCTGACCCATTGTGGAGTCATTTGTAATTCAGCAAGTTCTGGATCTCTGCTTCAGGTTAAGGACGGTGGGCTGATTTCCTTTCCTCTGAAGGACTGATCAGAAGCAGTTAGTCTCAGAGAATGTGGTCAGCTTAGGTGGATCCAACCCCATTGGAAGTCGGATTGGGGAGCTGAGTGCCAGCGGTCCCTCCCTTCCTCTCAGTAAAAGTGGTTTTCTGGCGTATGTACGCCTTTCCTGCTTCTTGCCCTCCAGATAATTTTGGATTACAATTCCCATAGTCCCTTCTCATTGCTCCACTCTTACAGGTGGAGAATGTCTAGTAGAACAGTGGTCCCCAACCTTGGGCCTCCAGAGGTTCTTGGACTTCAGCTCCCAGAAATCCTGGCCAGCAGCGTGGTGGTGAAGGCTTCTGGGAGTTGTAGTTCAAAAACATATGGAGGCCCAAGGTTGGGGACCACTGTAGTAGAACATCAAGAGTTCCCTAGCTTTGGTTGGTTTGTTTGTTTGTTTCATTAATAACTACTCAGAGTAGACCCTTGGTCTAGAGATCACTGGTTCTTAACCTTGGGTTACTCAGTTGTTTTGGACTGCAACTCCCAGAAGCCTTCACCACCAACTGTGCTGGCTGGGGTTTCTGGGAGTTGCAGTTCAAAAGCATCC